ACGCCTTTGTTAGCAAAATCTGCTCTTCTTATAAAGTTTGGATGGTCTACTTGGAATTGTAAAATATCCAGGACAAAGTTATCTCCATAACGATGAGCTGTTTTAGTTATAAGACCTCCTTCTTCAATTACTTTACGTCGGTAATAGGCAATTCGGTCAGTATTAGAAAATGCATTTGAAATGTTTCTAACTGAAGAAAGTGGATTATTTTTGTCCAAGGACTGCCCAACATGTAATTTTTGGGGTAAAGTATCTGGTGCTGTAGAAACGCGTTTTTTGAACATATCCATTTCATTGTTGAATGGTTTGTTTTGGATAGGTTTTTGATGTTCATGGTGGCCTTTATGTAATAAGTAGAAACAAAAGCCATTTTCGTCGGGTTGATCCAATTTAATAAATTTACAATTGACCATACATTGGATCCATTCTAAAACTCCTAAAAAATAATTAAGAAATAAATTAATAATATGTATTTGTCAATATTTATACAAAATCTGAATTAAATACCATTGCAATTATTTAATGGGCAGCCTTTACCAATCTGCTCTTCTATTTTTTTTTTTTGTGGTCTTTTATTTTTGGTCTAACTTGGGCACTACATTCTTTGCATTGAATTATTCCCAAGCATTTCTTTATATTAAATTTGGCGTTATAATTATCATATCATCTAGATTCAAAAGAATAAAAGACCCATCCACTTTGTGACCAATCTCTTGGTTCATTATCAAATTTAAAAACACAATCACCACAAGGCCACAGGGGATAGTTTTCACCTAATATATATATGTGTTGGGGAGGCATTCATTTTACCGACAATAATTTTACCGACAGTTCATTTTACCGACAACACGCGGTGCGCCATTTAACCTCCACATATCAAACAACAAATAAAATGCTAAAATGGCGCGCCGTGTGTTGTCGGTAAAATGACTGTCAGTAAAATGATTGTCGGTAAAGTAATACGTACCCCTTCTGAATCACAATGGATGCAAAAATTATTGAGCTCTGTAAATATTTAATTGATCATTTAAGATTTCCGCAACATCATTTTTGAGAGAAAAAAAAAATAAATAAATTAAATATAAACCTTTGTTGATGGAGTTTTCAAATTTTTTGATAAAAGTAGAGAATTTATCCATTTTAAATCAATTATGTGTATTTAATATGTTACGCGGGAATTCAAGTAATATATTATTATTATTATATAAATGTGTGTATTTAATATGTTACGCGGAATTCAAGTTAATATATTATTATTATTATTATATAAATATTATATTTTTTGTATTTTCAACAAACGTTTTCAGAGGGGATATTTATATATTTTTATTTAAATATCAAGTGTTAATATTTTATATATCTTTTAATAATTAATTCAATGTTTCTTTGATTCATTCGTAAATTAATGATTGGGAATTATCCAAATTACCAAATTAACGTTTTAAAAAAAAACAATGCCAATCAAAATAGATTCTACCCAAAATTTCTTGGTAAATAAAAACTATTCTAATTATATTTTAAATTCATCCAAATTACTAAATTAATATTAACATTTATATTTATTTTGGCCAACAAAATTAATAACTGAAAACAAATAGTTTTGATTTCATTCAAATCGTTAAACCAAATCAAATTGATCTTTTAAATGCAAATAAACAATTGAACATATTTTCCTTTCACTAATTTCTTCTCCTGACATGTATCCAAATAACAATGAAAAACAATTGAATATATTTTCCTTTCACTAATTTCTTCTCCCAACATGTATCTAAATAATGATAAAAAACAGTTGAATATATTTTCCTTTCACTAATTTCTTCTCCCAACATGTATCTAAATAATAATGAAAAACAATTTATATTTTCCTTTACTAATTTCTTCTCCTGACATGTATCCAAATAACAATGAAAAACAATTGAATATATTTTCCTTTCACTAATTTCTTCTCCCAACATGTATCCAAATAATGATAAAGAACAACTGAATTCCATTATCAACTTCTTGACCTAAAATAGATCTAAATAAAAAATGCAATCAAACAATCAATTAGAGCCTGGAACCAGATAGTAAAATCCTTAGTATTAGGATATTTTGATGAATGGATAGGATATCCAGATAGGCACTGTGTGAAACAAAAAAACCAAAAATGAAAAAAAATGGAAAAATGAAAAAAACATACAAAAAAAGAAAATGAAAAACTAAAAACGAAAAGGATTATGTCACATGCCGCCACCATATGATTGGACAGTGTTTCGATAAACACTTTTAATATTAATATACAATATCCGGGTTTCTATAATTTAAATGAATAGGATATCCAGATTGCTACAATTTAAACAGATAAGTATCTGAATCCAAGTTCTACAATTAATTAATTTTTTAATTGCAAAAAAAAACGATTGAATATATTTTTCCTTCTCAATCAAAATAAATTTAATTCTTCACCAGTTTCTTCACCTAACATAGATATAAACAAAAATGCAATCAAACAATTGAATAGATTTAATTCTCTAGTGAGTATATTTACATCTAAATAGACTGTAAATATCCCCCATTTTACCTATATACTAGGAATTTGTATGTGACCAATTTTTAATTTCCAACTATGTTGATCAGGCGTTTAATCGGGTAGTAAAAATATGTATTCATACCCTGCTGCGTTCAACTTCCAAAATGTAACAAATGTGACTATCGTCAACCATGGTTGACGATCAACTTTATGTAGCACTCCAGGAAAAGCAAATGAAAAATGTCTGTACATATGGGATAGAAAACTTAAATGGCTTCTCTCATTAGTTTCTTCGTCTAAGTGCAATTTTTACCATTACTCTTCTAAATTAAAAAAAAAAATCTAGGAAAAATTTATTTTCCGACCTGTACTTTTCAAGATTTTTTTAAAAAAAAACCAAAAATGGATAGGTACAGGGATCAACAAAATTCCCTGGACCTGTACTTTTCAAGATTAGATTAGGAAAATCTTGAAAGGTACAGGGTACAGGTCACCTGTATCATGACTGCGCCATACCTGTACCAAGATTTTCCCTGTACTTTTTCACATTTTTGCATTTCACCTGTGGGTGAATCTTGAAAGGTACAGGGTACAGGTGAAATTTGTCGATCCCTGTACCTGTACTTTTTCCGTGACCGCTCTTTATAGTAATAATCTAATGCTGTGTACAAAGAATATATATTAATAAAATTAGATGATAAAAATATTATCTCTGCCAAATTATATTTTGAAATGGTCAATGATAGCTCATGATGATACTGATAACTCAGAAGATTCATCTGATGATGAAGATGAAGTTTAACCAAAAAGTGATCATGATTGACGTCCATAACGATTGGGCTTTTGGACTTATAAATTAATT